TGAATATTAATAGAGGTTAACTAGGACAACTTTATTGCCATCACTTCTCCAGCATCTTTTTCACCAGTTTACTTCCTGAGAGCTAGTGAAGAGAAATAATTAGCTTTTTTCCAAGTGTGTGGCCAATGTAAAAGGACAAGACTGAACTATGTAGTCTTATTTTAAGATTTATTTGAGAGAGGGAGATGAGGAACAGAGGGAGAGAAACTTCAAGCGGACTCCCGGCTGAGTGTGGAGCCGACGCACAGCTAGATACCCATGAGATCATGACTTGAGCCCAAACTGCAGAGCTCTGTCTTAGGACCCATGCAATCATGACCTGAGCCAAAACCGAGAGTTGGAGGCTTAACTGACTGAGCCATCCAGGCACCCCTGCAAATTATGTAGTCTTGACAAGTAGTATAATAGGATTTGCTTTTCTATAGTTTTTTTTAAAAAGCCTTAAGATACAATTTACACATAAAATTCATGTTTTAAAGTTTAATTCTGTGGAACGCATAGTTATACAACCTTCACCACTATCTACGAACTTTTTAATTACTCCAGATAGAAACCTGTATTTATGCCATAGCCTCTTGTAAACTTTGAGGCAACTTTTTTTTAAAAATTTATTTACATTTATTAATTTCGTATCTGATACAATAAATTAGCCAATACCAACATGACTGAAAAATAATGCTTAAAGATTTATTAATGTAATCTTTAATGAATTTTTTAGATTTTTTAAAAAAAAGATTTTATTTATTTATTAGGGAGTGAGTGAGAGAGAAACAGCATGAGAGGGGAGAGGGTCAGAGGGGCCGAGCCGGGAGCCCGATGTGGGACTCGATCCCAGGACTCCGGGATCATGACCTGAGCCAAAGGCAGTCGCTTAACCAACTGAGCCACCCAGGCTCCCCATGAATTTTTTAGATTTAATCTTGTAAACCTTCCTCACTTTTTGGCACAAAAAGTGTTCCGGGATCACCTTGTATCTTCCTGCCCCAGGCAAAGAATAGGCCAGCTCTGCAAGAAGCCCTGATTCTTTTATTTTTTTTAAGATTTTATTTATTTATTCATGAGAGACAGAGAGAGAGAGAGAGAGGCAGAGGGAGAAGCAGCTCCCAAGGAGCAGGGAGCCCAATGTGGGACTTGATCCCAGGACCCTGGGATCATGACCTGAGCCGAAGGCAGACGCTTAACCATCTGAGCCACCCAGGCGCCTGAAGCCCTGATTCTTTTAAATGTAATATGATCTCATTTTAGTCTTAATAACTTGGGAAGTGGATTTAGTATGCCTTAGTCCCATTTTACACAAGTTGCCAGTTAGTGGGGGAAGCAAATGGAATGTTCAGAACATAGTTATCCTCATATATATATCCATACATATATATACATGTAGATGGATCAACATCTTTTCCACTAAAGCCCATGTTGCCAAAGTAAAACTATCAGGACTTCAAAGCCATGCTTTCAGAATTCTTCACTGTGTTTCTACTACACTTTGGCAGTTGTTGGAATGTACAAATCTTGGCCCTCCTGTATTTAGATTGCTGCAATCAAGCAAAATGATTGTTAGCTTGAATTGTAGCCACCCAGAGAGCCCACTCAGGCAGTGGATATCAAGGGCCTGCCCTGCACCTTGTGTAGAAACGAATGAGGAGCCTTTTTCTTCACCTAAATCAAGAGTTTGGTCACTACTAAGATGACATCTCCTTCTGCCACCAGAAGCCTGTTGGTCATCCTGGCCAGCAGTGCTGACCTCTTAACTGAGTGGTAAATGAGGTGCAAGTACCAGAGTTACTGTGGAAGTAAGCATACAAGCAAGTGATAGTATAGGACCAACAGTGGCTGTTGCTCCTGTCTGCTATAGGTAACCTATTTCTTGGGGCTGATAGTTTGTGGAAAGTGACATAAAAGAAATAGGAGAGATGTGAGGAGGTGGTGGTAATTGACATTGGTCAAGGAAAGCTAGAGGAAGTGTCGTTTATGCCCAAGACTGAAAATAAGGAATCAACTTTGAGAATGGTTGGAGAACTTTCTAGAAATAGGGAACAGCAAAAAGTCCTGAGCCAAGTAAAAGCTGTTGAGAAGCTTGAGGGGAGTGAGGTGAGAGTGTCTTGAGATGAAATTGGAGGGCTAGAATGAGGCCAAATCATGAATGTCTTTCAGGTTGTGCTAAAAATTAGTTACTTTCCTGATGAATCACTAAATTCTACTTCTGAGATTAATAAAAAAATTAATTTTAAAAAATCGGTTAAGTGTAATGCAAATCCATGGTCGGGTTTTAAGCAGGGTGACTGCATGGTGTGAACTACATTAAAAACAAACCATAGACTTTGAAACAAAATGGAAAAGGATTCAAATGCAAATACTCAACAAAAGATGACTGAGGAGGTTGTGCCCCCTTCTGTGGGTTATAAATTCTTGGTATAAACTAAAACGACCCTTAGAAAACTAGATGTGGCCTTTCCTTTTCATTACTACTTTAATTCAGTCTTTATTTTTTAAAGATTTTATTTATTTATTTATGAGAGAGAGAACACAAGCAGGGGGAGCAGCAGGCAGAGGGAGAAGCAGGCTTCCTGCTGAGCAAGGAGCCCGATGCGGGACTTGATCCCAGGACCCTGAGATCATGACCTGAATCAGAGGCAGAGGCTTAATCAACTGAGCCACCCAGGTGTCCCTAATTCAATCTTTATTTCAGCACTCCATCCTGAAGTTACAGAGCTCAATAATAATGTTTTAAATTCCTGCAAATAAATGTGTAGATGGTAAGTACATTGAAAAGTACGTTCCTCACATTCAGGTTGGTCAATCCCAAGCCCACCCTTTACTTAAATTCTTCATCTTTGGGGCTCAGGTCCCTTCAGCATGCCCTCAGAAAGAGCCAAGTCATCTGGAAGCAATTTGGAAGCTATCTCCTCAGACGCCGTCTTAAGATGGCATCACCCTAAGACTCGGAGGTGCTCTCAGGAGAGCTTTTTCCTACTAGAGCCTTGAGCCTGGCCCTCACCAGCCTATAGTCATGAGGGTTTCCAAAAATTCAGCACTAAAATCAGTCCCAGGCCTAGACTGGCTGAGGGAAATGAAACTATACTCCCCAAATCCCTCTTCTGCACACTCATAAAGATTGTCTAGAATTCGTCACAGGGTCACGGAGAACGCTACGGCACACACTCAGAAACGCCCCCCCGCCCCCGAACGAGAGGTCGTTAACTGCCTGCCAATGCGCCTGCGCCTGGGCCAGCGGTGGGCGGAGCTTGCGTACTGGCGAAAGAGTCGTGCGTGGGAGCGTTCTTGCGTTGGGGGGTCCAGAGAGTAACTGTCACAGGGCTTCGCACCTCAACTGCCATTAGTGGTTTCCTTTTGGTGTAACTTTTTTTTTTTTTTTTAATCTTCCTTAAAGGCAGTGCGTTGCGTATTCCGGCTGTCTGTACTAAATTGCGCCAAAGCATTTGTGAGTGTCTAGTACTGGGGTGAAAATGATGGCTTGAGGGCAGGGAGAAATAAAAAAGCTTATTGGTGCCCCAACCCCTAGGTAGACTGGTTCTTCTCTACCTCTCCACACCCCTTTTTTCGCTTTCCCACCACACTCGGCTCCAACATTCTGCAGACTCAGTAGGTAAGCCCTTAGATGTTCAGTGTGGTTAGTACATTGATACCAATGAGAGTGATCAGTTTAGGGAATTTGATTCCACTGAAATTTCATTATCCCTATCAGGTTCTCAAAATGTCAACTATCAAGGAGAAGCTTATTGAGAATCTAATTGAGGAAGATAAAATCTCCCAGAATAAGATCACCATTGTTGGAACTGGTGCTGTAGGCATGGCTTGTGCTATTTGTATCTTGTTGAAGGTAAGTAAGAAGCCTATCCTGTGGCTGAAAATCAAGTAAGAACTTTTAGGTCTTGTAGATGTTGATGAGTTCAGGGTTGTAGGGCTAATCTTCTGAGAGCAAATATGTGTTCACTTAGATATCTGATTTTGACATAATTTAAGAGACGTTTATTTGGAGTTTACCATGTGTCCGGCATTGCTAGACTATTTGAACTGATTCATAGGAGACACGTTGATTGCATTGTTTTGTTACTGTTCTGTTTAAACGATCCCATACCTTGCCTTCCTGGAAGAGTAATGGGTGAAAGTCATACTTCCCAGAAACTTATACTTAAAAAGAATTTTTTAGGGGCACCTGGCTGGTTCAGTCAGAGAAGTGTGGGACTTTTGATCTCAAGGTTGTGAGTTCAAGTCCCACATGGGTATAGAGATTACTTAAAAATAAAAAACCTTAAATTTTTTTTGTTAAAGTATTACATGCTCATTATAAAACAAAAAGTACCAAATTTGATAAAATAATGGAAGTCCTTTAATTTTCTTTTCTGTTTGTACAGCATCTTTTCATGTGCCTGTTGGCAATTTGTATATCTTCTTTGGAGAATTGTCTGTTCAAATCCTTTGCATATATATATATATTTAGAGAGATAGAGCACATATGTGGGGGTGGAGAGGGGAGAGGGTGAGAGAGATAGAAACTTTTTTTAATTTTAATTTTAATTAATTAATTTAAAAAGACTTTATTTGCGAGAGAGAGAACACGAGAGATAGGGAGCAAGCATGAGTGGGGGGGGAGGGGCAGAGGGAAAGGAAGAAGCAGATTCCCCGCTGAGCAGGGAGCCCAATGTGAGGCTCAATCTCAGGGCCCTGGGATCATGACCTGAACCGAAGACAGAGGCTTAACCACTGAGCCACCCAGGCGCCCCTTTATTTATTTATTTATTTATTTATTTATTTTTATTTTTT